AGCCTGGTCTTGGAGTTGGAACAGCCCCTTTGCGAACAGCCAACCAGGAGTGGGTCTCAAGGTGAAGGGAGAGAGGAAGTTGGGGGCCTGAGGCCGCTGGGCTGGGTCAGCCATGAGGATGGTGGGGGGCTGGGTGCGCAGGGCCAACAGCTGGTGGAGGGAAGCTGAGGGGGTTTCGGCACAGGCTTCGCCCTGAGAAGGATGAGGAGCCATTAAAGGATCCGACGTGGGGGCCAGGTGGGCAGGGCAGTGTGTGGAGGTGGAAGGAGAGGCCCAGGCAGAAGGGGCAGGACCCACGGGAAGGAGCGGATGTGCGCATGCATGTGGCCCCACCTGCTCCGCCAGCCTCTGCCCAGCTCCAGCCCCTCTGCTCCCCTGCAGCCGCCTGGCCCTGACTTCCCTTGCTCCGTACATTCGGGGCGTAGAGCAACTCTGTGACGCCCTGCGGGTCAGGAACCGAGGGCCCAACAGGACACGTTCCCTCTGGGCCAGTGTCACAGCCCAGGTGGGGAGACATGCATGGGGGGAGGGGGGTGTCACGGGCAGGCAGAGGAGCAGAGCAAGGGCGCTGGGCCCCGTACAGACCGTCACCAGGGAACAGACACTGGGAAAACAAGGACCTCGCCCCCAGGTGGCCTGCCCGCCCCTGGCACGTCTCTAGCCAGGTGGTCGGACCCCTGACCTTCCACACCCCTGTCATACAGTTTAACGCGCTGCCGTTTCCTCCTAAAGATGACATGGAGGGCTCAGTGCTGTTTCAGCTCCAGGCCCAGGAAAGCAGCAAAACCTTTTAGACAGATGACCTTGTGGCAGCCTCAGGACCAGCCAGCTGCACTGACTAATGACCCCCTGGCCTGGCCCGGACCAGCTAGTTGGGGAGACCCCGGCCCTGAGCGGGCACCCGGAGGGCTGGTGAGCGTTCCATGGGCCTCCCTTATGATTGCCACCTGAGAGCAAGAGCGAGAAAGAAAAATGCCCTCCATGCAAAGGACCCAGCGCGCTCCCCCAGGGAGCAGCGGGCAGCGGCAGCTCATCCCAGGCTCACGCCCGGCCCTGTCTCCCAGCCCCCTCCCTGACTTCCCAGCGAGGCCGGGGCCCAGCCTGTGCTCTCCTGTGGCTCTTGTGCTGAGCCCTTGTTACACTGGCTTTCGCTGCAGACAAAACATCCTTGTCTGCTTTGCTGCTCTCTCTCTCTCTCTCTCTTTAAAAATATATTTTTATTGATTTCAGAGAGGAAGGGAGAGGGAGAGAGGCGGAAACACCATGGACCAGCTGCCTCCTGCACGCCTCCTATCGGGGATGGAGCCCGAAACCCAGGCATGTGCCCCGACTGGGAGTGAAACTGCAACCTCCTGGGTCATAGGTCGACGCTCAACCACTGAGCCACGCCGGCCGGGCGGGACGTGTTTTTTGCTTTGTGCACAGGTGGGGTTGGGGTTAAGCCACCCAGTGATGGAGGCTGCGGATGCTGGTGACATCGCTCCCACAGCGTCAGCAAACCCACAAACCGATGGTGCAGACCGAGGTCACGCTGGGGTCACAGACGGAGCTGTGGAGAGGCCGGGCCCAGCGCCTCTAGTGGTTGCCACTGAACCCCCAGACCTCGTCCTCTCCTCGGAGCCCAGGCTGTCCTGGTGGGGGGCAGACTCCTGGCTTTAGGCAGCCGGGTGCAGGCGG